TCACAAAGCTAAGATTTTTTTTTTTGGTCTTTGATGTCGATCCCTTCGACACCTTGTGATCTCACAGGCTGGTATGCTTCTTCCATGTGGGCTTTGCTGTTGCTCAGTTAGATGGCCCCTTGTTTATCTTCCAGCCTACAGGACCCCAGACTCTATATCTTATCTTTTGATAGACAGCCATGGTCTCCTTTCAATCCTCACTCAGAGGAGTAGTTTCTTCCTCAAACAGTGGAGGAAACTGAGGCTTGGCCGGGCTCAAGAACTTGACCAAGATTGCACAAGTACCCGGTGTTGATATGAAAAACGACTGTGTGACCAAATCGTTCCCAAAGCATTATTCTTCAGGCCGCACTGGAAGATCGCTGGTGCTCAGCGCGGGGACTTGGCCTTTCTCTTAGCCTTGCTGTGTTCCTTCTGAAATGGATTCCTCGTGAGATCTCTGGGGGTCCTTTGATCAGTGCTGCCAGTGGTCTAGGTGTGTGAGCCTCCTTTGCTGACTTCCTCTTCCCTTGCAGAGACTGTGTGTAAGACGGGCATGGTGCTGCTGTGTGGGGAGATCACCTCGGTGGCCATGGTGGACTACCAGAAGGTGGTGAGAGACACCATCAAGCACATCGGCTATGACGACTCGGCCAAAGGTGGGCAGAAGGGCCTCTGGCTAGGCATTGGTATTGGGCTCTTGGAGACAGTCCACCTGTACCAAATCTGAGTTCCTGGTCTGTGGAAGTGCGAATAGCACCAGGAAAGGAAGTCCCCTCCCTGCCCACTCTCCCATCTACCTGCCCACCGTCCAGGACTCTGGCAGAAGTCTCTGGTGCATTTCAACGAGCACATGCACACCACTGGCACACGGATTCTGTTTAGGAGGCTGCTGCGTCTTAGTGCTGAGTCCCTGGGGGAGAAAGAGGCACCGAGGAAAGCAAGCTGCCCTCTCTGTGCTGGGCAGACACACGCTCTGAGCGTGCTGGCCTGTTTACTGCTTTCAGAAGCTCTGGCATGCTTAGACACAGACGAAGAGGTAAAAGAGGTAGAGTTTGTATGCAGTCACATGACCATGGAAGGGTGGACCTGGTTGGGGACTTTCCACTAAATGATGCCAGTATAGACGTAGACAAAGATGAGCATGCGTAGTGATAGCACGTGCATAGGCCAGGCTGTGGGCCCGGGGTCAGACTGTGGTCTCAGTCAAGCATGGCTCTGAGTTCAGGGAGGGCACCAGTGTCCCCTGGCTGAGCCTGAAGCTAGAGGAGGGGGCAGCAGGTGTGGCAGGGGATTGATGGTGACCAGGTGGGGTCTGAGAGTTGGGAAGAACCCCAGGCCATGGAACAGAGTCCAAGAAATAGGACCAGACAGGCGAAAGGCACTATGGGAGTGCACCAGAAGACCCAGATGCAAGATTCGGTGTGGAGGGCCCATGTGCACAGACAGTCGTAGGCTCCCGCATGAGCCTTAGTTCTTAGAGGCTTTGACCATGGCTTCTGGCGCTAGATAATCTGTGTTCAAGAAAAAGTCTTTGGATCTCCACTTGGGCTCTCTGAATCCCCTGAACTCACTCCATGGAGCAGGGTCTGTGAAGAGGAGCTGTTTAAATCTGCTCAGGTGTGCCCCTTGTCCCTGACTGGTGCAATGGGACATGTGACAGCTTTGGGGACCACCGTGGCAGAGAAGACCACACCCCACCTTTGTGAGTGGGAGAGCCCAGTCCATGGGAGAAAGTGCAGACACATGGAACATCAGTTCGGTCCGCGTCTGACTGGGTCCCAAGGTGTCGAGAGCAGTTTCTCCTGAACACAGGAGAATGTGTTTGGGGGGTGTATCAAGAATCCCTGCAAAGAGACCATGTGAGTGTGCAAGAACATTCCCCTCAGGACGGAGGTGATGTTCTGGAGGAAAATGTTGCCAAGGAGCCACTTCCTGGCATGCAGAGCCTGCCTCCACTGTAACCGGGAGCGCCAGGCTGTGTGCATCCGTGTAGACTTTATTCCAGAGCAGCGCTTGCTCTGCATGCGGTACAGAGGGTCCCCGGAAGTGGTGTGGCCTAGAAAGGAGAGGGAGAGGGAGCCAGCTTGGTAATTGGCAGAGTTTCTGTTTGCCCCAGGCTGACAGGTGCCCGCACCTAAAAGTCGCCCCAGGGTGAAGTGGAATCTGAGATGCGCAGTCTAGGCAGGTGGCCCTCCTTCGCCAACGGCGGAGCTGAGAAGAGTACTGTGGGCACGGCTGAGCCCCCTTTCCTTTTGTCTAAAGGGATAATGTGGGTTTGCGATTTGAGGAACCTCAGGGGGCAAGAGCTGTAGCCTGATCTTCTAAGGAGTGTCTATTTTATTCTTGGAAGCATCTCCACAGTACGTTGGCTCACCCTGGCAGAGTGGACAGGAGAATAGAAAGAGATGGCCAAGCCGCCTAGGGCACAGCTTGCTCCCTGTCCCCTGCATGCCAAACCTGGGTGAGAAGAACAGCTCTCTGAGCCTCAGCTGGGGGACAGGCTGGAGCCATGAGCACCTCTCTGCTCTGTCCCCGTGCCTGCTCAAGGACAGAGTAATGACCTCAAGGACAGAGTAATGACCGCAGAGTCCATTGGAGTCATGTGAGAGCCCTGTATCTGTTCATGGAAGGTGTGGGGAGACATACACCACACATGGGCTTCTTCACTCTGCACTGATGCTCATAATGGACCTTGGGGGCAGACGGGGAGTGGGGGGCTCTGGGAAGCCCATGGATGAGGGCCTGGGACCACAGGTCCCTCTACTTGCTCCCCATCCAGAGCCGGGTTGATGCTCCCTGCCCTCCTGTCAGGCGTCTGTCCAGACACACGTGGGGGGCTGCTGTCCTTTCTGTCCTGGGCATCCACTCTGGGCCTGCGGTTAGAGCCACCACCACCCCAACCCAAGCCCTCTGCAAGTGCTCACTCCGGCTTGCTTCCCGCTGCCCAGGCTTCGACTTCAAGACCTGCAATGTGCTGGTGGCCTTAGAACAGCAGTCCCCTGATATTGCCCAGTGCGTCCACTTAGACAGAAACGAAGAGGACGTCGGTGCAGGAGACCAGGTACCGCCACCTCCCGCACAGAGCTGGGTCAGTGGGCTGGCCTGTCTTGGTTGGATTGGACACGAGCCCCATGGAGGAGCCAGCTGGTGACCGTCCTGAATCATTCGGTTGGTCACCCTGTGGTAGATCATCATTTGGGGACAAGAGCTGAGGAGCCACAAGCCAGGCTGGGACACGCTGACCACCCTGCTTCACTGGAGTGGCTTTGGGGCGTGGTCTGGCTCTGGGGTTCAAGGACCATGCCCTCTCTCTCCCAGGGCCCAGCGCAGTTCTATAAATGCGATACCCAATCCGAGCTTGCTGAAGTGAAATTGTAGACCAGAAGCCAGTGGCTCTCCTGCTGTCTTGAGACAGGCGCCGCTCAGCCTGTGCCCTCTGCCTTTAGGGTCTGATGTTCGGCTATGCCACCGACGAGACGGAGGAGTGCATGCCCCTCACCATCATCCTGGCACACAAGCTCAACGCCCAGATGGCAGAGCTGAGACGCTCCGGGGTCCTGCCTTGGCTGAGGCCAGACTCGAAGACACAGGTGAGCTCCCCCTCCTTGCCACCTGCCAAGCTCCCGACAAACCCCCAAGCACCTGCGTATCCTCTTCATTCTTGACAGGTTTAAGATGAAAGTGTGCAGTCTGGGCACCGAGCGAATCGTTCCTTTTTAAAGGAACAATTAATTTGGAAAATCTCCCGTTTAGAGAAGTTGAACAAAGAAGCAGTCGAGGGGTTTTGCCGCCTCAGCATATACTGAGTACGGATTTGCCCTCCACCTTCCAGTCTCCGAGAGTCCCATCAGTTCCCCTATGTGGTCCTCCCCACCGCGAGCAAGGCGGTCCGGGCCTCCCTGGGCTCTGTTTCCAATGTTTGTTCCCGATACGACGACTCTTCTATTGCTGTTCCCAGTTCCTCATGCCTGGGCGGTGTTGCAGTGTCTCCTGCCAATGGTGAGGCCCAGGGGTGCAGGCACACGGAGGGCCTCTTTTCCACCTTTGCTCTCCGTGTGCCTTGTGCCTGTGATCCCTGGTGACCCCAATGACTCCTCCCTTGTTGGCCTTTCAGCTCCAACTGGTGGCTCCCCCATGTCTGGACATTTCTACACTTTCCCCTCTATCCACATTTGAGGGTCCGATTGTCCCCTCGCACGTTCAGCCGTCAAATTTCACATTGAAGGCCTCTCTCAGACAGACACTAGACCCCTTTCTCTGCCCTGCAAGGCTGCTGCGGTGCTCACCCCCCACCCCCTCTTTCTCCAGGCCTGCCACAGTCCCCATGCCTGCACTGCCTGACCTCTGATCCCCGCCTCCCCTTTGGCGGATTTTCTTGTTTTGGCCCGCCTTCTACCCAGCCAGTGTGGTGCCCTCCTGACAGCACAGCCCAGCACACCCCCTTGCTGAGAGCCTTCCCTCTCCTGGGCTTCATTTGTAATTTCCTGAGACCGACTCTGTATCTTTTCCCACTATCTCCGCTTGCCTTTTTGGTATTCAAAGCATTTCATGGTCCCCTTTCCTCTGCCCGCCCCCTGTTGTGACCCCACAAGCTGTAGCTTGACCTGCTTTTTGCACCGGGTGCCCCTTGTCCCTTGGCTCCCCCACCTCTTCTCCATATGGCCAGTCTTTCTTGGTCTGTGCCTGGCCTACGATGGACAATATGGTTCTCTCCCTCTCAAGGACACGGATGGTTTCACAACTTAGCAGTGAGCATGTGACAGTTACAAAAGCTACACTGGCCACATGCAGGGCAGAGTGGCACAGGAACTGTATCTGGGTCCGAGAAGTGCAGGCTTGCCACCCACGGGACCTCAAGATGGGGAGTTGACTGAGCATCCTTCCGCTGAAGGATGGGACTTAGACTGGGATGTGAGGCTGCCCTGGCCTGGGGCTCACAGCAAAGGAGGCTGAGATGAGCATGGGGGAGGACAGGATGTGTGGCTGTTGATCCTTCCCTTTTCTACTCCCTGTCACCGGAGAGGCCTTTTTCTTTTTGCTTAGACAAGAAACTGGAGGTTTCCGAGGACACGAGGCATACCTCCCTCGCTGTGACGGCTTACATGCTAGTTGGTGGGGTAGGGAATGGGCACAGAGCTGGCTCCAGCAGCAGGCATGTCGGGCAGCCTGAGCTGAAGGGCATGCTAGCAGCTTCCTTCCCTCCAAGGACATCTGATCTTCCTCTCTCCATCTGGTCATCTAGAACTGGGCCCTCTCACCCTGTCCCTTTAGCAGGCAGGTATACTCTCCCCGCCCTCACACCCCCTTTCCCTGCAACCTGGAATCCTCTGCTATGGGTACTGGGCAGCCACAGTGTGACGTGGGGACCCCTGTGCTTCTGGACTGGCACCCGGGATACCTTGACTCTAAGCCTTGGCGGTTAAGGAGACTCTGGCTAGGGGACAGTTAGGGCCTCCAGGGGCCTGTGAGACAGAAGGCAGGTGGACGAGCACTTACAAGTTGAGAGGGAATTGTTTAGCTCCTGAGACTCCAGGTTTTGTGCAATTGAAAATTGTGGCACAAGCTTGGGTCTAGCTCACTTCATTGGCATGGGGCAGATGCTCAGATGGATGGGCATATTGGTTAGCTTCCCAAGGTCCTTGTGGGCAAGAGGCCACTCGGGGCCCTGAGCAGCCGGCTGGCTCTGTGAAGGGCGGGGCCTCAGTACACATTCTACGTCTGCCTGGCAGGTGACCGTCCAGTACACACAGGAACGAGGCGCCGTCATTCCCGTGCGCATCCACACCATCGTCATCTCGGTGCAACACAACGAGGACATCACACTAGAGGACATGCGTCAAGCGCTGAAGGAGCAGGTGATCCGGGCTGTCGTGCCAGCCAAGTACCTGGATGAGGACACCATCTATCACCTGCAGCCCAGTGGGCGGTTCGTTATCGGAGGCCCCCAGGTATGCCCTGCCTCTGTGGCTAGGCCACAGGTCGCTATAGGGGCGCCAAGCTGGATGGCCTGGGCAGGCTGTGGACCTGATGGGCAGTCAGAGGCTTGTCACATGGCTTGTCACTGAGATGGGCACCCCTGCCACCCTGTGTCCTGCACCAGCTGCAGCAAGTGCTGCGGAGAGGCTGCCGGCCCCTGCAGGATCACCTCTGTAGATGTGCTTAAAAGCTAAGCATCACCCACATCGGGTTCTTTTTTACCCCAATCATTTTATTGGGGGCTCATACAACTCTTATCACAATCCATACATACATCAATTGTGTAAAGCACATTTGTACATTCGTTGCCCTCATCATTCTCAAAACATTTACTCTCCACTTCAGCCCCTGGCATCAGCTCCTCATTTTTATCCTCTCCCTCCCCACTCCCCCCTCCCTCATGAACCCTTGATAATTTATAAATTATTATTTTGTCATATCTTACACTGTCCGATGTCTCCCTTCACCCACTTTCCTGTTGTCTGTCCCCCAGGGAGGAGGCTATATGTAGATCTCTGTAATCCGTTCCCCCTTTCCACCCCACCCTCCCGGTATTACCATTCTCAGCACTAGTCCTGAAGGGATCATCCGTCCTGGATTTCCTGTGTTTCCAGTTGCTATCTGTACCAGTGTACATCCTCTGGTCTAGCCAGATTTGTAAGGTAGAATTGGGATCACGATAGTGGGTGGGGAGGAAGCATTTAGGAACTAGAGGAAAGTTGTATGTTTCATCGTTGCTACACTGCACCACAGCAGGTTCTATAAGCAGAACTCTTTAGAAACGCAGGTGGGTGGGAGAGAGAATGTTTTCTTGTAGTATTTCTCAAAGCCTAGACTAGCCCCGGTGGTGGAGTGGTTTACCCGTTGGGCTGCCAATCACAAGGTCAGCAGTTCAAAACCACCAGTCACTCCGAGGGAGAAAGATGAGGCTTCCTATGCCCATAAAGAGTCAGAGTCTTGGAAACCTACAGGGACAGTTCAACCCTGTCCTGTAGGGTCACTATGAGTCAGATTCAACTTGATAGCAGTGAGGGGGAGGAGGAGTACACATATTACTATGCACTGTGGAGCTTTAAGAAGGAAATACAATATACACATTTTTTGAGATCGCTTTACTGAGCGCTCACCCCTTATGACATCTCTATTGCTATATCGCCAGAGTCAACATGTGGCACCTGCGGAGTCAACATGCAGGTGCAGAGACAACATTTGGAGCCGGCCGTGACCCCAGAGAATGCCTGACCCTTCTTCCTTCAACAGCACTTGGCTGCCCTCACTGCTGGGTGGTGGAGCAAGGGTGAAAGCCCAGGGTTGGTTCTGGGCTGACCCCTAGCCAAGGGCCCTTTGGAGCACACAGGCACTGTCTCCCGGCGCTGAGGTTCCTCCTCCCCTCCACAGGGAGATGCGGGGGTCACCGGCCGAAAGATCATCGTGGACACCTACGGTGGCTGGGGCGCTCACGGTGGCGGGGCCTTCTCTGGGAAGGACTACACCAAAGTGGACCGCTCGGCTGCCTATGCCGCTCGCTGGGTGGCTAAGTCCCTGGTGAAAGCAGGGCTGTGTCGGAGAGTGCTCGTGCAGGTAGGGCGGGCGGCTTTGCGTTCTACCTGTGTGCTGACCTCACCTTTCCCCCTGGTGAGGGCCTGGAGCACTTCTATCTCAGCACGAGGCGTCAGCCTTCTGGGAAAGCCAGGAACCATGCCCACATGCTGCGACCTGTGTACCTCGGGTGGGGCACTATGGCAGGCCTTAAGAGAACCTGGGGGTGGCGGCGGAAAACAAAATAATTCAGGGAAGGGGAAGATCCGGTTGGAAACCGTCCTCTGGGAAGAATGCAAGCGTTTTCTAGGCAGTGGGAGGCTTCCCTTCCAGACAACGTGGCGGGGGTGGGGGTGGGGGTGGGGCACAGGCTCACGCCTCCTGCTGTGTCTCGCTGCCAGGTGTCCTATGCCATCGGGGTGGCAGAACCACTGTCTATCTCCATCTTCACGTACGGAACCTCTCGGAAGACAGAGCGAGAACTGCTGGATGTGGTGAATCAGAACTTCGACCTGCGGCCTGGCGTCATTGTCAGGTAGCCGACAGAGCCACCCCCGCCCTTCCCACTGTAGTCCTCCTCCCACCACCTAGGGCTCCACGGCAGAAGGGGCGTTCAGGCTGTCTGAAAGAGAGGCACCTCCAAGTCTCGGGCCCAGCAAAGGCATTCCCTAAATGCAGGCAGTCTGGTTTTCAGCTGGGAGCAAGCCAGGTGGATCCCAAGTGGCCTTGCAGGCATTGACTCAGGGGCACCGCTCAGCAGACAGAAAGCTGGTGTGTGTGGAGGGGGG